CCAGGGGCTGTGGTGCAGGCCTGCTCCTCCAAATCGGGCTGGCCCTGTGGCAATCCCTGTTTTCCTCTCCCCTGCCTCACTGGGGGACTGGTCCCTTTATTTTGAGGAGAGAATCATTCGTTTTCCTCTTTGCCATAGGCTACTTACTACCTTTAATTTGCTGGGAGAAGGAAATGGGTGTCAGAATAAATGTGTGTAAATCTTCATCTCTGGTGAAAGCTGGTGAGGAGATAGATATACACAGAATCATAAACTGTTCCTGTTGAGTTCTGCCCCTCAACTAGATTCTCAAAGTCCTGGCTGATGATATAACGTGTAAACTTATATTCTGCAAACTTGTGACTAAAATATAAAGACATCAATAGAAAGGGGCAATCTCTAAGATGTCAGAGGGTAGACAGGCAAGTGGAGCGCCTCTGCAAGGAGTGTAGGGATATTTCCCGAGCAGGCTCTAGAGGTGGCAGGGATGCCCAGTGAGGGGGCACTGGGCAGGGGCACTTAGGATGGAGACTCTGTGCTTTGAGGGCTGCCAGAGGAGAGCGTGCAGCCTACGCTCTGTGGCAGTACGGGGAGATGACTCCCTCACATACTGTTCTCTGTTTCTTTTTTTTTAAACAACATTGCATGTGGTTAAAAAAAAAATTTTTTTTTTAAGTTTGAAATAGGCCAAATTTACATAAAAGTTGGAAGTAGGGTACAAAGAATTTTTTTCCTGAACCATTTGTGAGTTAAGTTGCCGACCTAACACCCCATCATCCTAAATACTTTGCATGCATTTCCTGTGTGCAAGGACATTTTTCTACCTAACCATAAAACAACCATCAAAATTAACATTCATATGTTACCTCCATCTAATCCTCAAACCCCATTCAAGTTTTGCCAGTTGTCCCAGTAATGTTCTTTGCAGCAAAATGATCCACTTCAGAATCGTGCATTGCATTTAGTTACCAAGTCTCTCCTATAGACTTTTCTCACTAAACGTTCCTTGAGATTCATGATCTTGATACTTTTGAAGATTACAGGCTGGTTGTTGTGTAGATTGTCCCTCATTCAGGGTTTGTCTGATATTTTCTCATGAGTAGATTCAGGTTATGCATCTTCAACAGGAGTATCACAGAAATGATGCTTGGTTGATTAATCCCATTATTGATGATGTTCATTTTGCTCACTTGATTAAGGTGATGTCTGCCAGGCTTCTCCATTGTAAACTTATTCCCTGTTATAATTAATAAGCAATCTGTGGGGAGATACTTTGAAACTATGTGAAATCCCTTACCAAACTTTAGTTTTAAAAATTTATTTACTTATTTATGTATTTTTATCTTTATGGCCTCATGGTTTCCTTTTTTATTCAGTGCATTATAATCCATTAATATCATTATTTACTTGCCAGTGGGAGCCCCTTCAAGCTGGTTTCTGCATCCTTTTGAGCATTTCCTTGCTTTCTGGCACAACAGGATGTTCTAGGCTCATCTTGTACTTTCTCTGCCACAGCCCTGGAATCAGCCAGTTCTCCAAAGAGCTCTAGTTCTTTCAGTGGAGAATGTTGTTTAGAAGGCGGCTAGGTGCTAGATGTGCACATTGCTATCAGAGTGTTGCTGCTCCCTGGCCCTTCAGTAAACCGAGCTAGAAAATATATATACATGTGTCTATATATTTGTGTATAGATATATACTCATCTTCATATGTACATCTAGCTTTATTTATTTAAATTTATTTATTTATTTATTTTTGGCTGCATTGGGTCTTTCTTGCTGAGTGCATGCTTTCTCTAGTTGTGGCGAGCAGGGGCTACTCTTCATTGCGGTGCGCAGGCTTCTCATTACGGTGGCTTCTCTTGTTGTGGAGCACGAGCTCTAGGCACGCAGACCTCAGCACTTGTGGCATGCGGGCTCAGTAGTTGTGGCTAGCAGGCTCAGTAGTTGTGGCTCACAGGCTCTAGAGCGCAGGCTCAGTAGTTTGTGGCGCACAGGCTTAGTTGCTCCGCGGCATGTGGGATCTTCCCGGACCACGGCTCAAACCCATGTCCCCAGGCAGGTGGATTCTTAACCACTGCACCACCAGGGAAGCCCTAGCTTTATTTTTATATATTATGTATATATCAGAAACCATGAATTCACACTCCAATTCGACACCACAGATGTTTTTCCCTTTCCATGTTTTAATTCCATCCTCTAACAGTGAGAAACCTGGTCCCATTACCCTTAACATATGCCCTTTTTTGATCAATTCCTCTGTATGTAACTAATCTCCCGTTGTTGCCACTGCCCTTTCCCCCTCCTGGGTACTCTTTTACCCTGCGTGGGAGTCCCCACATCAGGCTACGGCTCCTTCTCTGCCAACGGATACCCTTCATACCCCACTAGGGCTGTGGCATGCTGCATCACACCTTCCTGCCTCTGTATGGATGCCTCCTCACCCAGCTTGGGCTCTGATACTCCCTCCCAGACCCTTCTGCTCCTCCCACTTCAACTGATGTAGACCCAACTTTCCTCTGCCACAACTAATGGCTCTAAAGCCATTAGATTGAATTTTTCAGGAAGGGGAGAAGAGCTGCCCTCTGTTTCTTGACTTGAGTTGAACTTATTTTTTTAAATGTAAGGGAAATATGGAACCCAGTGACTGCTGATATGTGGAAGCCTGGTCTCCTAATGTCTGCTCTCAAGACTTTTTACAAGAGAGAAGCTTTTTTATGTGGGTGAAATCAGATGAGAAAGCAAGGCCTGCAGGCGTGAGGACCTCTGGCCATCAGTGTGTTGTCCATGGGAGGGAATAGGGCATATATAGTATGTAGTATGGGGGGTCTAGAGCAATCTGGGGGTGCAGGAGACATTGATGTTACTCTCTGAGGTTGCCTTATGCATTGGATTTATAGGCCCAAAGTATGGGGGTCCAGGCTTGGCCAGGTGGGCATAGCCCAATAGGATAGTAGTAGTAATAATAGTAAGCTTATATTTATTGAGCCCTATGTGCCAGACCCTGCTCTTAGTGCTTTACATATGTCATCTCATTTCACTCTCGCTTAAGGAGTAGGAGCTGCTATTATCATTTTACAGGTGAGGAATTGAAGAACAGAGCTTGCCCAAGGTGCCATGGCAAATAAGTGGTAAAACCAGGATTCAAACCCAGAAGCCCTCCTTAATCATGATGCTTAATTGCCTGTAGTATTTGGCAGATGGAGTCTGACTGACTAAAAACACTTTATACACTATATATACACATTGGAAAACATTAAGACTTTCAAAAGTCCTTATGCATGACCTGACTTTGAGAGGTTAGAGAAGAGTTCTGAGGCCCTGAGGGACTTTGGATTCAAACTAGAATGTGTAATCTGAGCAGACTGGTGTCTCCCATCTCAGCAAGGCTTCCAGTACTGTTCAGGAGTGGGTGACGTGAAGAGTTATTTTGGATTCCGGCTTTCAAAAGGATGTTGGCCCGTTTGCCTTTCCAAGGGATTCCATAATGAAACTCAAGCCAACCTTTGTCTATCCCAGGCTGCGGAGTTTGGCTGCGTTTTTGGAGAGGCTGTAGGCCACGGTGAAAACAAGCACTACGCTTGTGCTAGAATCATGAAGAACTTAAAATACTTCTTGGTCTTTGTTCCATATGGAACTTCACTATAGGAATAGGGAAATTGAGGACCCACACCAGCACGTATCCTAATAAATATGCAGGCAAGTTACTGTAGGTCATTCCTTGAGTCCCGGGAGAGCCGGGGTGAGAAGTGATACTTGGCATGATCCATGTCCGTGCAGGTGGTAGTGACCTTGTTGCCCCTAGTGTGCTCTGGACTTCCCAGGCTGCTAGCCTCCTCCACGCTACAGGAGGGAGTGAGTGCCCATTGCAGTCTTTCAGAGGCAAGCTTTTGGCTCCGTTAGACTGGGGCTTCAGAAAGCTTAAACTATGGCCATTTCCGTATTGAGCAGCATGATTTCTTTGAGGATTAAAGTTGAGGGAATTTGAGGATTAAAGTTGAGGGAATTTGAGTGTTGGGTATGAAATGGGAAAAACACAAAATTTCTGCTTTATTCCTGTTTCTTTTTTTTTTTTTTTTAAGGAAACTTGAGTTATTCGTGAGTAAAACTTAGGCTTTGATTTTTATATTTCTTTAGTCCTCTAAGGAGCAGACATTCTGCAAATTTAAAGGGAAAACTTGAAAAGTGATTTGGATTTTTTTTTTTTTTTGCACATGTACACTCAGAAAACTTTACTAGACTTTTAGCAATGCTCCCATTACCACCACATCTGGGTTTTCTCTTTTTCTTCCCCTATTTAAAAAAAGTCCTGCAGTCATTCAAGGCCTCTAATAGAGAGTTAGTCTAAAGGCAGCGGAGGAAGGCCCGAGGCTGTTGGCAGCTGTGCTCTGCAGGCTTCGTTCATTCCCCCAGGTGCCACTTACTGGCTGGCATACCAGAGTATGGTGAGCAAGCTCCCTGTGATGGGCTCTGCTCCTTTCCCATTGGGAGAAGGGAGGAGGGCATATGGAGACATCAAGATACAGACAAGAAAGCCAGGGACAATGGCTGGGAATGGAGCTGAGGAGAGAGTCCTGGGCATTTCCTGCTGTCTGAGTCTACTTAGCTCCCAGGACTGATTGTGCAACCGGGGCACCCCGGGTTACTTTGGGAAACTTAGCTTTAATGTTAGCTGTTGCCACCTGAGAAATGACCACAGAATTTTTCTCTCTCTCTTTTGAACTTTAGAGCTCCACTTAAAGATCAAGGCCAGTGCTGCATCTTGTTTTGAGAATGGTCTGGGAGACTCAGAGCTGTCATAATGCTGTGGGGGCCAGTATTAAGGGTCTTGAACTTCAGTAACGAATACTGGGATTTAGAAAAGGGGCACAGAAACACTGGGGAGTGGTTCATGTTCTGTGAATATTCCTGAAGACTAGGTGGAACAGGGCCGCGGTGGGAGGGAGTAACCCAGACTCTCTGTTCTTTTTTTTTTTTTCTTTTACTTTCTTTCTTTTTTTTTCTTTTAAACTTTCCTCCCCTAAGTTTTAGATGCTTCTGGATGTTCAATGCTAGCACCTTTACAGACTGGAGCAGCTCGATTTTCTTCATATTTACTTTCAAGAGCAAGAAAAGTGCTGGGCTCCCACTTATTTTCTCCCTGTGGTGTTCCGGAGTTCTGCTCCATATCCACCAGAAAGCTGGCGGCCCACAGCTTTGGCGCATCCATGGCGGCAATGATGTCCTTCCCTCCCCAGAGGTATCACTACTTTTTAGTGCTGGACTTTGAGGCCACGTGTGACAAGCCGCAGATTCATCCTCAGGTAACTGTTGCATCATTGCTTCAGCAAAGATGGGGTGGGCAAGGAGGGAGGGAGGATAGACTTGCTTTCTGGGACACAGAGGAAGTTTCTCATGTCTTCTTGGCTTTTAGCTACTCATCTGGAGTTCCTGCCTAAGAAGCAGGACTTGACTCAGGCATCCTAGGGTAAGGTAGACCTGAGAGGTCTTTGTAGGGAACTGGGCACACTGTTTCTCTCTGGTCTCAGCCTTTGGGAATCAAAATGTTTCCTTCTGTCCCATCCTTCCTCTCTCCTTTCCCTTCCCTCCTTCCTTCTCCTGCTACTGCTGCATGTTCTTTTAAGGAATACTGTGTTAGCCTCCAAAATGGCCCCCAACGATCCTTACGTCCTGATATTCCCACCTTTGGTAGTTCCCCCCTCCTACAATGAGTGAGAACTAGCCCTGCATAACCAACAGAGTATAGTGGAAGAGACATTGTGTGACTTCTGAGGCTAAGTCATTAAAAGCATCATAGTCCACCTTGCTCTTTTGGATCAGTTGCTATGGAAGGAGCCAGCCACCATGCTTTGAGGATACTCAAGCAGCCCTGGCGAGAGGCACATGTGTACCGGAACTGAGGCTCTTAGCTAAAAGCCAGTACCAACTTGCCGGTCATGTTTCTTGGCACTGTCTTGGAGGTGACTCTGCTACCCCCAGTCAAGCCTTCAGATAACTACAGCCCCAGTGGACATTAGACGTCAACCTCAGGAGAGACCCTGAGCCAGACTGACCAGCCAAGCCACTCCTGAATTCCTGGCTCATCAGAGCTGTGGGAGATAATAAATGATTATTGATGTTTTAAGCCACTAAGTTTTGGGATGATTTGTTATGCAGCATTAGATAACCTGAACAACCATTGCTGGTCTGTTGGAAAGGAAAATTTCTTTGCTTGCATTTTTTTCTTAGTTGCCAACTGTGTTCGGAGATCTTTTACCTTTTGAGGTAGTGCTGCTAAGAAGCTTGGATTAGCAGCAGAGAGACACGTGTGCTAGGTGATATTGGATTGCTTGGTGTTTGCTTTGGGGGCCTGATTGGGGGCTGATGTGGCAGTGCCTTGTAGTGTGGGGGCCTTGGGTATGCCTGACTCTAGGACTGGAACTCTTCCCTGTAGGGCTGGATTATCAGGTGGGTAATTTGGGGGTGTGTAGACATGTGGGTCTGGGAGAAGCTTTCAGTAGTAAGAGGAGGAGAAGAGGATTGTAGCAGCAGGCACTTGGGAGACAGGGAGGCCCGTTCAGAGGTAAACTGGGTTCATTTCTCATGGTTGGTTTTTTTTCCAGGGAGGGGTTCTATCTTTAGGTTAGTAGGTTATTTTCCATAAAGCAGATACCACAACCCTTTTCCCTTTCCGTTTCTCCTTTCCTGTTCGTTTCCTATTCTCAAAGTAGTGGTCTGCCTTTGGGGGAGGATTGGAGTCAGGCCTGCTGAGGCTTGGGAAGACAGGCGCTGGATGAGGAGAGCTTCCTAGGGGAAGGAACTTCGCATGAAAGGGAAGACGGCTTGGGGGCAGCCTGAGCCACACTTTTCTTTCTCAGCCTCTTGCTCCTACCTGTGCTGTAGGGTCGTCTTCTCCACCTCCTCAAACTACTGGAGATTCTGTGGTGGGTGTACCTGGGTGGTGGGTGGGAGTTTTGGTTATGTAGATTCTCTTGGGTTGAGAATCAGGGAGCCATACCCCAATATGCCATATTATTTCCCTTGCTGATGATTTCAGTTGCTGGGCAAGCCTTAGTAGGACCTGAGTCTAAAACCTAACACGTTGCTACTGCATAGGATTCATCCCTCTTCTGAAGCCTCATGATTGCTTGGCACCTTCTTGATGACATTTCCTGCTTTCTGCTTCCTGGCACATGCCTATGTATATTTGTTTCTGAACTTTTCAGTTAGATTGTAAGCTGAGATAATTATGTAGCTCTGTTCTCTTATCCTACTGAGGGTCCTGCCAATGTTACTGAAGGTGAAACTTGATTCATGTCTCAGTTTGGCCTGTTAGTATCACCTTTCATCTCTCTTCCAAGGGCATTGTTCTTTTAATTTTTTGTTTTGTTTATTTATCATTGCAATGCTGAAGATATAATGCAGTACAGATTTAAATTACTTGTATCACCAACTTCCTTCCTAGACTTAGGCACCAGGGCCTTTTAGACGTAGCCTGAGGTTGGACTTCCTGCTTTTTACCAGGGTCTGAGCCTGATTAAAGTTTATCTCTAGAATCAATGAACCCTGATGATGTGATTCCAAGGGCACTTAAGGAATTGGCTGTCCTGGTTCATTATTAGCAAAGCATTAGCTGTTACTTTAGAGAACTCAGGAAGAAGCATTTGCTGTCTTGCTTATCTTTAAAAGGCAAATACGAATGATCTTGGAAATTATAGACCCGTTAGTTTACTGTGATTCCAAAGAAGATACTTGACCTGATCGTCAGATAATCAATCAGCAAACAGCTAGAAGAGCATAGGGTACTGAGTAATAACTTATATGGGTTTGTGAAGAAGAGCAAATCCTGTCAGATCAATCTAACTCCTTGCTGTGACATAGTGATGGATTTGAGTGGATCTAGGGCAAGTGATAAATGTAATGCATCTCTACTTCATTAAGCCTCTACAATGCTGTGATCAACAGGTAAGAAGGTGAGTTTGGGGCCAGACAGCTCTGTTGTTGAACTACCCACTGGACCACTCTCAGGAAAGGGATGGGCAGCTTAGAAGTGACTTGAGACTTATTGTTATTGGCAGCTCAAAGCTCCCCCACCAACCCCACTTTCTTTTAACAAAAAACCTTCCCTAAAGTTTGCATGTAGCAGGGTCCTGAAAGGATTCAGAGGAAGGTTGGAGGATGGATTGGAGAAGTTGTCAGTCCCAGATAGGATAGTGTCCTTCCACTGAGGTCCTCATAGGTCAGGTTCTCATCATAGCCTCTGTATTGTTTAGATCTTTTGGTCAACAAGGGCAGTGGAGAAATTGGAAAAGCTCAGGATAAGAGGAACAAAAATTAGGGAGCTCAGCTTGGTGCTCCGTGATGACCTAGATGGGATGGGGGGAAGGCGGGGAGGGAGGTCCAAGAGGGAGGGGATATAGGTATACATATAGCTGATTCACTTCATTGTACAGCAGAAACTAACACAACATTGTAAAGCAATTTTATTCCAAAAAAAAATAAAAATAGAGGAACAAAAATTATTAGAGGCACAAAAATAAGACTTAGAAAGAAGAGAAACTGAATATGGTTTTAGTGACTGATTTCTTGTCCAGACTTGGAAGGAGTTGTTCCAAGGAGTTTGATAATAACTTGCTCTTCATTTTAATAAGGACAAAAAAGGAATATAAATGGAATCAGGAAAGATTGAGATTTGGGACGAGAATGAACTTCTAGAAGAGACAGTAAAAGGACTAGAATATGGTATGCAGGTTAGATCAGCCCTACCTAGCTCTCTCAGAACCTCTTGATGGCTGTCCACTTGACAGAGATACTTTGTGGACAAGGTCTGTGTGCCTCCTGATGATGTGCTTGGACTGGGAATCAGAACCACCCTGGCTCCCCTGCTGCCTGGCTCCCAAGAGTTGAACACTTGAACACAGTGCACTTCTGATTCTTTTGGGAGTGTGTCATACTCCTCAGTTGCATAGGAGGCAGGAACAAGTTTTGGGCCAGGGCCTCTCTGGAGGCTCGGCGTGGGGTTCATTTCTCTCATCTGTGTCTGCTATTCGGAAATCCCTGAGTCAGCTTGTTGGGACTATCCAAAAGGAATGCCACCATGCAAACTGACAGGTGCAAGCTCTGTTGTACTTGAGTAACAATATTGGTTGTAAACATGGTAAAACATCTGGTATTTCCCATTTGTCGTAATTTTTGCTGTTTATTTTTGTACTCTGTTCAGCTCACTGAAACTGGAGTGGTTGGTTTGCCAGTAACAGGCTTTCACCTCTCTGGTATTTGTACTCATTTTGTTTTATACATTTTGATTTAGATTAACATGATAGGTATTGGTTGAATATGAGACCGTTTTTCGTTTGAAAATATTTTTTCGCTTAAATGTTAACTTAGGTGGATTAAAATGTTTTAGAGACTCAAAATTTGAGGAATACAGTTCCTTTCTTGCTTTAGGAATTGTTTCTTGATATGGAAGTAGGTTTTTATCTGGTTCGGAGAATCGTGGCTGCTTTGTCCTCGCCAGCAGGAGTTCGTGTTGCTCATTTTGGTGTGGATGTGCATCGAATGCTGGTGGCTGTGACCCCGAAGCCCAGGGAGCAGCCTGAAAGCTTTGGTGGGAACTTTAATTGTGCAGCTTTAACCTGGGGGCAAGTTCTCTCACCACCTCAGTGTTCAGAAAAGACCAAAGCAAATGTAAGTGAGGAAAATGAGGTGTAGGCCACAGCATGCAGGGAGGAGGAAGTAACCTCAGCTGTCCAGATGGCCAGGGAGGGGCGGCCCGGTGCTCCTGTCTGGGAGCACGTGTCCTGGCTGCCGCCTCCCCTCCCTCCCTGAGTTCGTCCATCAGACTCCATCAGGCTCCGAGGTACAACCTTTTTCTCACTGCTCTGCAGCAGCCCCGGTGACTGTTTTCCTTCTCATCTGTATTTAAGTGCCCACAACTTTGGAGAAAAATGACCTTTGGGGTTGAGGTTTTCTAGTGTTTGGTCTTTGTCCACAGGGGCTTTTTTTTTTTAAGGAAACCTTGAAGAATCTCCATCTGCATTTTGAGTTAGAACTATGAGTAAAGGCATTTCTTTTTTATAGAAAATTGTCCAGATGCCGGGTTATTTTGGGAGGGCAGGGTGGGGGGAGGGTTGATGGTGACAGGAGAAGGGATAAAATAGAAGAGAGGCATTTGGAGGATTTCAGTATGACTTGAAGCTGACTCCTCATTATTAGTCTTTTGTGAGAGAGACATTTCGGAAAACTTCGCAGGAAATTGGTTAAGATCCCTACAAATCAAACTGTATTGATTCCCTTCTCCTCCCTTCAAGGCTGAGAGAGGCAG